TGGGTCAAAGCAGAGCCTCTGGAGGTCAAGGGCTTGCTGGGAGACATCATAGTGTTTGTTCATGGTCACCTGCAGAGAGAGATGGAGAGAGCCACTGTGAAGCTCTGGTGGGGGTAGAGAAATTAGGGACTGGAGGAAGAAGAGGTAGGTCTGGATGTTGGCTCACAAAGGGCCTTGATCCTGCATTACTTTTATATGCTCCATTTCTTCTGGCTCCAACTTATACCACACCAAGTAGGGTGCATCAGAAGGACTGACAAAAGGTATCTATAGATAGAAAGGAAGGGTAGGGTAAGCACCAGGAACTCTCATTCTAAATAAGACAACCAACCTCTGGCCTGTCCTCCTTCCCCAAGACTCTCATTCTAAAGGAGAAGACCAACCCCTGGCCATGTCCTCAGCATGCGCCTTCTGGTTCTCTTCATTACACATCTTATAGCCAATACCCTTCAATGAGCAGTCAGTGTCAACATCCTGGACAATGTACTAGGTCTGTGTTTTCACATAGTGGAATCACAAGCAGCACAAGCAACAGAAAAAGTCTTGGAGAACCAACTCTTCCCCTTCCCTGTGCCCATTTCTCTGGCTTCACCATTCTCTCATACATCACCAGTGGTGAAGGGGACACTGCAATGGCTCAGGATTGAATTCAGTAGCCATGTATCATACTTTCTCCCATAGGGCATCTAGGGGGTATAAGGATAGCAGAGAAGAGTGACAACATGGAATTAAGGCTGGAGAACAGATCCTCTTCCAACCATCTACTGAACTTGAAAAGAAACTGCTATAAAAGGGACCATGGACATAATTTCTTACGTTTGTGCCAAATATGGATTTTTTAAATCCCCTTTCTCTCCTTCAGAGCTCTCCTCCAAATAAACACTTAAGATATTAGACATGATCTTCCTTTTATAAATTTCCAGGAGAAAAAAAAATAAATTTCCAGGAGATCCCACCTTGTGAAGATGCTACTTGCCATTTAGACAAGGTCTCCAGAGATTTAACCCCCATCTCCCACATTCACCTTGAGCCAAACTCAGGCATCCAGTGGAATGTTGTTCCATCCAGTGGAAATCTGTTCCATCTCCTTTGCCTTTAGCCATCCTCTACTCTAATCTCTTTATATCACTTCTGTGGACCTGCCCTTAGATGACCAAGGCTGATATCTTCTAGTAAAAGAAGAAAAAAAAAGGATACATTACAGAACCCATCTATCCTAGCAAAGTAACCTAGCATCTCTACACAAGACCAACACAACTGCCCCTGACCTGTCTCTCTTGCACATTCCATACATTTGCAAGGACACTCGCTGTGATCCTGAACCAGCTCCCATGGTTCCATCCCACCAGTGCACCCCTATTTCCCTCCCTGGAGGAATTCTCTTTCCATATATTCACATTAGCATAGGCAAGGCTTTAATAATGCCATTGGCTTCTCCTATGGTAGAGTCAGTTGGCCTAGTGGGTGCTGTAGGGATGTGGAGAGAAAGAAGGACTCCATGAATTCTAAAAAATGATTTCTACATTTTTGCCCACAGATACCAGGACTACCGTTAGTACTGCTTGACCAGTAATTAATTCCTAGGCTCTGTCATGTAGAAAATGAGGATATAGTTAACTACACAGGGTTATGTATGCCACTGGCTAGTACATGTCAACTGTGATGACTGATCACTTACTATTGTAAAAACAAAACAAAACAGGGGATCCCTGGGTGGCGCAGCGGTTTGGCGCCTGCCTTTGGCCCAGGGCGGGATCCTGGAGACCCGGGATCGAATCCCACGTCGGGCTCCCGGTGCACGGAGCCTGCTTCTCCCTCTGTCTATGTCTCTGCCTCTCTCTCTCTCTCTCTCTCTCTCTCTGACAATCATAAATAAATAAAAAAAAATTAAAAACAAAACAAAACAACAACAACAACAAAAAAAACAAACCACTACCAACAACAAACATTGTGCCCATGGACCCCAAATGGAGTCACTTGAACTAAGCCCATGTCACCAAACCGAGACTGAATACATAACCTATTTATAGTTTCAGTCTGCATCACAAACATAATCTAATCTAGTCAGTCTAGAATCTCCTGGTCAGTACTAATGATGTAATACGCCTAATAGATCCCTGCCATCCCCTAAAAGGAAGGTGACCTTGTCTTAAACAATCCACTATTTGCTAGTAATTTCCTTGTCCTGCCTCCTTCTGCCTATAAAAGTCTTCTGTTTTGTACAGCTCTTAGGAGCTTCTTTCCATTTGCTGGATGGGATGCTGCCCAATTCACGGATTGTTGAATAAATCCAATAGATCTTTAAATTTTACTCAGCTGAATTTTTTTTCTTAACACTCTTATTCGGGGATCCACATAAGTATCATTCATTGTTGTTTCTCCATCTTGTTCACAGATGCATGAAGGATGAAAGCCAGAAATGTCATGTTTATACTGGTTTTCATAATTCCTTGGGAAACACCCAGGTATCCAGCTCCTCTTTGAAAGGAAGTATGTCTATCAATGTACTCTGAAATCAGGAAGAAGAGTAGAAAAGAAACAAAATTAAAACCAAATCAAAGTAGAAAATATACCAATGACCCAAATAACAGAGCAAAGTCCTGTGATAGCATTTATGGATAATGAAGAAATATCATTGACTTTTTTCATCTAAAAAGAAATATAGCAAGCAGCATGCTTAAAAGTTTGGAAAATTCCACTGTGCATCTGCCTCCTGGGAGATGAGTGGTAGCAAGAATTCTCAGGCCAGGAGAGAACAAGCACAGGAAGAAGGGTTGGGCAGAGAGTCCATTCTGAGATCTTAGTTCCTGCTCTGCCATTTCCAGGTTGGGTGACCTGGCACAAGTTAATTAATGACTATAACTCCCTCCTCCAACCTGAGCTCTAAGCTAATAATAGAATCTGCCCTGACTGTGTGATGTTATGTTTCAAGAGTCAAAGGCAAGTTCCCCACCTGAATGGAGAAGTATGTAAATGAACAGCAAGTCTGAAGAAATATCCAGCATTAAGCCTGGTGAGACAAAATGATGGAAGATTTGGAAAGAGAAGGGGCAAGAGTTGAAGGTGTTATAGCAAATAACATTAACGCACGTTCAATTGTTCCCCCCAAAAAAGAAAGGGAGCAATACAGAAGATATATTTAAAGAAATGATAGTTGAGAAGTTTAAAAAGTGACAAAAGACATCAAGTTGTAGATTCACGAACTTCTGTGTTTGTCCAGCCTAGAGGGGTATGAGGAAAACCAAACCTAGGCCTATCACAGTAACACTGTTGACATCCAGAGATAGACAGTACTCAAAGCTGAGAGAGGAAGAAAAGGCAGGCCATCCTCAAAGAGGCAGCAATCAGACTGGAATCTCATCTTTCAACAGAAACAATGGAATCTAAAAGAGAATGAGCTTATATCTTCCAAGTGCAGAAGGAAAATAATTGCAAACCTAGAATTCCACACCTAGAAAGAAATATCTTTCAAAAAAGGAAAGCAGTCATTTTAATGTAACAAATAGGCAAATTTGGCACTCAAAGTCTCAAGTTAAAGGAAATAGCAAAGTTTCTTCTTCAGGCAGAAGAAATATGACCCCAGGTGGAAAGACGGATATGGAAAAGAAAGAAAATTACATTGATGAATATGTGAACAAGTTTAACTGAGTGTTAACTGTATAATTTACAATTTGGGAAGGGTAAAGTAAAACAGCATTTTAATTTTCTCTATATTTAAATCCCAGAAAACATTATTGTCACATATTATACAGTTAACACTCAGTTAAACTTGTTTACATATTCACCAATGTAATTTTCTTTATTTCTTGGGATTCTCTGTGATGAGAATGATAAGCCTGTCTTTTGTTATGTCAGTGAGATGACTTTTGGAAAACTTCTAAGCTTGAGGGCTGGTTGCCAGGAGAACCAACCATGTGATTAGAGGGTTAAAACAGTCAGTCCCACCCCTCTGACCCCTGGGGAGGGGAGAGGGACTGGAGATTGAGTCCAATCGCCAATGGCCAATGATTTATCATGACTATGTAATGAAGCCTCCATGGTGATTGTTCATCTGCAGGACTGTGGACTTTTAACATTTTGTCCCCTTTTCAGTGAGCCAAAGTAAAAATATTCATTGACCGTTACTGTTATTTGCTGACCTTTTTTGATGGTGACACTATTGCGACCAAATTGACTTTACCATCTTGGCTTTAGTAAGTATAGAAGGCAATGGATTACCATCTTTATTGCTCTAGTGTGTTAAACATTATATGCTAGTAGAATCTAGTTTAATTATTTCAGGTGGAAAAGTATTCTTTGTGTTTCCATTCTGAATGTGTTTGGACTAAACAAACAATAAACTCTGATGTCTGAAGGAAAAAAAAAAAGGACTGGGTTCAGAGCTTCCAGATTAGTAAGAAAGAATGCATCCTTGTGCCACCGTGTCATGCGCCAAATTCCATTGGGACAGAAGCCTCTGCGTTTGGAGCCTCATTCCATGTATCTCTTCATCTGGCTATTGATTCCTATTCTTTAATATCCTTTGTAATAAACCAATAATCTAGTGAGGAAATGGATTTCTTGGGTCCTGTGAGGCACTCCAGCAAATTAATCAAACCCAAGGGAAGGGGTTGTGGGAACCTCTGACTTACAGCCAGTCAGTCAGAAGCACATGTAACAACTTGGACTTGAGATTGGCATCTGAAGTAGAGGGCGGTCATGTGGGACTGAGCCCTCAACCTGTGGAATCTGATGCTATCTGCAGTTAGATAGTGTCAAAATTGAGTTAAATTATAGGACACCCAGCTTCTGTAGGAGACTTGCTTGCATGTGTGGGGGGAAATCCCACACACTGGAATAGCATACGGGATATTAAAAGTTAAAACTGGCAGAAGTAAATGAAGATGTGGACAAATCCACTATCATAACTGAAAATTTTAACACATCTCACTGAGTGGTAGCTAAAACAGGCAAACAAAAATTCAGTTAGATGAATTAGATTTAAACAATATTATTAACAAGTGCTCGCTTCAGCAGCACATATACTAAAATTGGAATGATACAGAGAATATTAGCATGGCCCCTGTGCGAGGACGACGTGGAAATTTGTAAAGCACTCTGTATTTAAAAAAATAAATGGAATATTACTCAGCCATTAGAAATGACAAATACCCACCATTTGCTTTGACATGGATGGAACTGGAGGGTATTATGCTGAGTGAAATAAGTCAATCGGAGAAGGACAAACATTATATGGTCTCATTCATTTGGGGAATATAAAAAATAGTGAAAGGGAATAAAGGGGAAAGGAGAAAAAATGAGTGGGAAATATCAGAAAGGGAGACAGAACATGAAAGACTCCTAACTCTGGGAAACGAACTAGGGGTGGTGGAAGGGGAGGTGGGCGGGGGGTGGGGGTGACTGGGTGACGGGCACTGAGGTGGGCACTTGATGGGATGAGCACTGGGTGTTATTCTATATGTTGGCAAATTGAACACCAATAAAAAATAAATTTAAAATAAATAAATAAATAAATAAATAAATAAATAAATATTACTAATAAATATTTACTTAATTGACACAGGATAGTGCACATAATAACTACACATGGAACACTGCAGAATAAGTTACCCGCTGGGCCATAAAGGAAGCCTTGAGTAACTTCCATGAGCATAATACAATCTAGCCTGAATGGTCAGTATGAAAATTCAAAGGTAGTGTTGGGTTCTCTGCCCCTGTCCTGCCTTTACATGAATCCCAAGAATGTTAATTCCCAATAATCCCCACCTCCTTCAGCTCCAAATGACTCTCTCCAGGTACGAAACCCTGGACTTGAGAGGAGCCCATGACTCAGGCCTTTCCCCTCAACTAGATGTCTTTTTTTTTAAAATCAACTAGATGTCTTAAAATATTCCTGAGATTTGCTTTAATCAGGTATGTTAAGATGACAGATATGGAGACAATGTCCTTGAAAGAGGAGTTTATTACCTATGCTCCCAAGAGGAGGGGACATGCCATAACACTCAGGGCCACATAAGAAAACACCCGGGTTGGTCAGGAGCAGAGAGAATGAGGGGAAAACATGATCCATAGTCATTATTCTGGCTTTATGAGAAGGATTGGGAGAGGTAGGATGAGTATGCTGTGTATAACTTTAGATTGGATAGTTTGAATAATTTTGGTGGGCTCTGGACTAGAAGGGTGGCCCTTAGTTGTCCAGTATCTGGACTTGGGGTGATTTGGGGCAAAGAGAATATTGAATGGGGGTGTGAGAGTTTGATAAAGGAGGTGGTGGGAGGTATGGACTTTAGATTGGTTGGTCTGCATATCAAAACTATTGATTGCTATCTCAAGGGATTAGCTCACCCTAGGAGGCCCCTATTTTGTCAAAGCATCATAAAATATAGTTAATAGAAACCCCGATGAATATGCCAAGGGGAAGATTTCACCTGAGTCATGACCACAGCCGCAGGAGGGAGAGGTTTTCTATGTAGAACTAGGATAGGTGTGCCATGGTCCATGTCCTCAAGAGAACAGAAAACACTCATCCTGGGCACTTGCCACCCGCCCCATCTAAAAGGGCACTGCTGGGTGTCTTTTTGGATGGGGCTGGGAAGGGGGGCCCAGAACCCTCTTGGCCTGGGGGGTCCCGAGACTGAAGACCAGCAATGACCAACCCACCCATGGGCTGACCTGCGTACAGTTACCTGTCACCAACGTCCTCACAGGGGGCTCAAGAGGTGAATCCGTGGGGTCTGTAGCTGGAGGTTTGGAGAAGATCCCTGAGAAAAGCAATTATAGACCCCAAACCACTTTGTCAGGGCCACACAAACAAGATGGAGTCCTAATGGGGAAACCCTTTTCCCAAGGGCATAGAGAGGAAAGCTCTGGCAGCCAGAAGAAAACAAAGGCAAAAAGCAAAGCAAAACAAGCCACATAACTACCCATTCTTACTTCCCCCTGAGTTTTGCGACCAGCCTAATGCCCCAGGAGTCATTTCCAAATGCACCACTCTTGCACAGGAGGCCAACCAGAGTCAGGAGGCCTGGGACCCAGGTACTTGTAGCTATAAATCCAAGAGATTCTGTGGCCTACTGTATAACATGGTGTTCTTCCACTTTTCCTCAAAAAGGGACTCTGACCACATAGTCACCAGCTCCTTGCTTTCTCTGAGGTTGCTGAGTCTTAGATACAGGAGTTTCTCTGGGATCACTCAAAGGAACTGGCTCCAGAAGACAGGATGATGCTGCCATGCATAGCTACAATGAGCTCTTTCTGCAAAACCCTTGAGCAACATGGGTCTGAACCACACAGGTCCATTTATAAGCAGATTTATGCTTTACAATACAATATCATAAATGTATTTTCTCTTATGATTTTCTTTTCTCTAGCTTACTTTCCTGTAGGGGTACAGTATATATATATATATATATATATATATATATATATATATATATATATATATATCTCATACAAAATATGTGTTAGCCAACTGGTTGTGTTATCAGTAAGGCTTCCAGTCAACAGTAAGCTATTAGCAGTTAAGTTTTTGGAGAGTCAAAAGTCGTAGATGGATTTTTGACCTAGCTGGGGGGAGTTGATCCCCCAACCTCCTAGCTGTTCAAGGAACAACTGTATATGAGGTCTGAAATAAGGGTAAAGTAACAAACATTTGGAATAGCCACATGGCAGGCAGTAACTCCAGCACATTCCAAAGGGCTTACACACAAAACAGTTGTGAAGTGTAAGGAAACAGCAAACAGTTGGTGGGTCTCTGTGAGGAGAGTATGGAAAAAAGCACGGTTTTTCCTTTAAAAAATGTAGTCAATGGGAGGCCACCACCAGAAAGATGGTGGAGGAGTAGGGTCCCCAAGTCACCCGGCCCCACCAACTTACTTAGATAACTTTCAAGCCATCCTGAACACCTACAAATTGGATGTGAGATTTAAAGAGAGAACAGCCAGAACGCTACAGGGAGAAGGGTTTTCGCTTCTAACAAAGTAGGAAGGCAGAAAAAATAAAAATAAAAAAGAATCAAGTGGGGGAGGGGCACCATGAGAAGCCTGGCTAAGGCCAGCGGAGAAAGCCTCTGGGACAGGAAAGCCCAGGCCCGGAGCAGCGGGAACTTTAAAAAATCCGCACCGGATTCTTCCCGGATGAAAAGGCGCTTAGCAGGGAAACCGGGCAGAATCGCAGGAGGGGCAGGGGAGCCTCCAGTCTCCCGGAGTCACTAATAGAGGAAGTGCTGCCCCGGAGGAGAGCGCGCCGCACTCCATGGGCCGATCTCGGTCAAGGGCTGGAGCGCGCCCCAGGCGGGGCACGGGGAGAAGCCGGCTGGTCAGTGGGCGGCTCTGGACCGAGGGGGCTGCGCCCTGCTGCCTTCGGAGCCGCGCCCTGGGAGCATGATTCCAGCAGCACAGGCCCGGGATCCCAGGGCCCCGAGGGGACGCAGCCCCTGATCCTGCGCTCCCCACCCCTGACAGGCGGAAGCGGGGTGGGCACAGGACAGCGAGGACTCTCCTGCCGCTGGGCACCCCCAAGCTGTGCAGATCAGCGCACCGGCGCCGCCTGGGAGCATCTAGGCCAGTGCAGACTGGGAGACTGCGTTAGTTACTAGCCAGGAACTGACTCCACAGCTGGATAGCTGGCCACTGCCATTGTGCCGCCCTGTGCCTGGGAGAGGCGGGGCCACCAGGCAACAGAGGCCCCAGCGGGCAACTGCACCCACTGGGCCCCCGCAACCAGCAGGGGGCGTGTCAGCTCCACCAGGTACACACACCTGAGCGTCAGCACAGCAGGCCCTTCCCCCAGAAGACCAGCTGGAAGGACAGGGGAAGAGCAAGTTCTTCACCACGCAGCGCTGGAAAGATCCAGGGAAGTCGAGGGATTTACAATATATAGAAAGAGAGGGTACCCCTCCGATTGATTTTTTTTCTTCTTTTTTCCAGTACAACTCGTTTTTATATCAGACTGTAAATTTCCAAATTATTTTTCTCTTTTCCCACCTTAACTGCAATATTTTACCACCTCTTCATGTTTAAGATTCTTCCTTTTTGACTTTCATATTTCTACAATTTCATATTTCATATTTCGATAATTACAATTATCCTAGATACATTTTCCACTTTTCGATTCCCTTCAACATACTCAACTTAATTTTGGGAGATATACAGGATATGTATTTCTGTTTTGTTTGTGTTTTTTGGTATCTCTGCCTCGTTTTGTTCTACAATGGCAGTTCTACATTTTGTTCTACAATGGCAGAAGTTAATACCTTCTAAAATATGACAAGCATGCACCCAGGACCAAGTGGTATATGGTGCTGCTTCATTCTGTGAGATTCCTCATTCCCATTCTGCCCCCTTTCTTTCTTTCTTTCTTTCTTTCTTTCTTTCTTTCTTTCTTTCTTCTTTCTTTCTTTCTTTCTTTCTTTCTTTCTTTCTTTCTTTCTTTCTTTCTTTCTTTCTTCTTTCTTCTTTTTCTTTTTTCTTCTTTCTTTCTTTCTTTCTTTCTTTCTTTCTTTCTCTTCTTCTTTATTGGAATTCAATTTGCCAACATACAGCATAAAACCCAGTCCTCATCCCATCAAGTGCCCCCCTCAGTGCCCGTCACCCAGTCATCCCCACCCCCCACCCACCTCCCTTTCAACCACCCCTTCTTCGATTCCCAGAGTTAGGAGTCTCTGATGTTCTCTCTCCCTTTCTGATATTTCCCACTCATTTTCTCTCCTTTCCCCTTTAACTATTTTTTATATTCCCCAAATGAATGGGACCATATAATGATTCTCCTTCTCTGACTGACTTACGTCACTCAGCATAATACCCTCCAGTTCCATCCACGTTGAAGCAAATGGTGGGTATTTGTCGTTTCTAATGGCTGAGTAATATTCCATTTTATAGACAGACCACATCTTCTTAATCCATTCATCTTTCGATGGACAACGAGGCTCCTTCCACAGTTTGGCTATGGTGGACATTGCTGCTATAAATATCGCGGTGCAGGTGTCCTGCTGATGCATTGCATCTGTATCTTTGGGGTAAATCCCCAACAGTGCAATTGCTGGGTCATAGGGCAGGTCTATTTTTAACTCTTTGAGGAACCTCCACACAGTTTTCCAGAGTGGTTTCA